ATTAGCATTTATATAGGTGTGTGTGTGTGTATGATACAAATTTCAAAAAGCGCGATTATTTGCATTTAATAATTATTTTATTAGCTATAATAATAATAATAATTTTGACATCGAGGTGATTATTAACAATATTTAAGAATGCGCGTTTTTGAAAGAAATGTTTTTCATCGTATAGGATGGGTTAATTAAACGTTAAAAATTGTTTCTGTTGTTTTGTTTGTTTATTTGTTTGTTTGTTTGTCTTGCTGTTATTACGTTTTCTCGTCTGCGTGTGCGTGTGTGTGTATATATGTTCTTCTTCTATTTCGTTCTTCTATGGGTTTGTATTATTACAATTTTTCTTATTATTTATATTATTATTTTACTGTTGTCGTTAATATGATTTGTATTTTACTATTTTTCAAAAATTATAACTTTTTTATTTTTATTATTCTGGTTATTATTATTAATATTATTGCTGTTGTTGTTTCAAACTTCAATGTTTATTTCACTAAATACTTTTTCGTAATAAGTTTTCGTTTAGCATATGATTACTAAATGGTTATTTTTCGTTAATTAATTAATTAATTAATTAATTAATTGGTATTAATTAATTGGTAATAATTACTTAATTAATTAATACCAATTATTATTATTATTTATTTATTATGTTTATTATATTGTTATTATTATTATTTTTTTTACTTCAATTATTATCGCTACATAAAATAATTTTGTCTTATCTCGGCTTCAATGACTATTTTAGAGTTTGTTTATAAATATCAACCATTTTTTATTTTAATTTATAAGTTTTTTCCTTGAATTGTTTATTTTATTTTTTTAATAAATGTTTATGCCATCATTTTTATTATTGTCAGAACAATATAAAATAATTTAGTAATAATGATAATATTATTTTCATTTATTTTTTGTTTTAATTGTTATTATTATTTTTGTTATTATTATTATTGTTATTATTATTGTTGTTATTATTATAGTTTATCGTTGTCCAAATTTTTTTTCGATCTGATGATTCGGTTTTTTCTCCCTTTAAAAATTCATTCATTACGAAATCGAATGAAAACATTGACGAACATTGAAAACATTTTCATCTCATAACTTTTGTACTTACTTTATTAATTAATTTTAAGTAATTTCTCTTTGTTAATTTATTACATAATTCATTTTAAAGATAATAATTTATATTTCGATGGTTATTCATTTTTTTTTGAAGTTTTTTTCATCAAATAGTTTGCTCCGAACGTTTGTAAAGTTTGAAAACGGACTCAATTTAATACAAGCTCGGATTTTCAAATTAAAATTTGTTCATAATATTAACAATAATTATGATAATTATATAATAATAATTATAGTTGTTATCAATTTTCTGGTATTTATTTCCTCCCGTAAAAATAACCTCAGTGTGAAAACTGACGAATCGTCAGTGGCTGACTGTTGTCTCCGCGTCTGGAACAGACGCTCAGATTTGGTCGTCGGCGAAACAAGCCAACAAACACACTTCTAAAAAAAAGTTGACCTCCCTTGCACAAAATGTGTACAAGGAGACAATATCACCAGTGACAAGTATTTGCGGAGAGTTAGTTTCTTTTATGCTATTCTGCTAATAAACTGAATAGTGTTTTTGATGTATGTTGGTGTGTTTTGTGCTAGTAGGTTGATGTAGAAGTCGATAAATTTAGCAATATTGCAGGATTCTGAGATGGTGGGTCTGCCGGGTGGCATATCTGGTAAAGTCCATTTATTTTTTTCTTTATGGACTTAAGGTATTAAATAGAATTTACTTATTCTGGCATCTTTGATTGGTTCGAGAAAGTTTACGGTGTGGTGTTATAACTGATGTTGCCTAATTGATAGTATTTTTCTATGATGTGTGTTAAGCTGTGTATGTGTGTCAATTCTGGGGTGTGTAAATGGTTTGTAGTTGTTTGTTGACTTCAAAATTGTATGAGCTTTGGTTAATCACTACAAAAATACACCCTTTATTCGCTTTCTTTATAGCGATCATGTTGTTTGAGGTCTTAAAGTGCTGAATATTCTCTGGGTGTTAAGTTTTTTTGTTGCCCGTGTGGATAAAATCTGTGTTGTTAATTGTTTTTCCTCAACCCAATAAAAACAATAAAAACTTTTTTTAAAAGATTTCGAAATACTGAAATATTATTGTTGATTATTTTTTTAGAATTTATTAATCGTGATAAAATAAACTAAATCAAAGAATTAATTAAACCATCACCTTATTTAGATATTCTTTAATCTATTTATATAATACATTCTAGATTTGCAAAGCGATGTTAATTGATGAAGAGGCGAAAATTTTCATTCTAAACAGTGGTTTCATATTTTCAATTCACCTCCATCATTCTTCAAAATTGAAGTTTTTTCGGTGGATGACCACAACAATGAGTTATTGTAGTAAATTTTGTGCGCTATTCTTGGTGTTTTTTAATATTTTTCAAATTTTTTTTGTTTTATTAAGTTTTAAATTTTGTTTAATTTGAATAAAAAATCTATTTATTAGATAGTAATCATTAACAAATATATCACAGGTAGGAAATAAATTTAACGGTTTTGATTTTATTCTAAGTTTAATAATCATAATTAAATTATCTAATCAATTTTAATATGTATTCGTAATTTTAAAAATTAAAAAATTACGTTATATTTAATGTTACGTTGTGGTATATAACAAACAAATTTTCATTGTTAAAAACAGTAAGAAATGAATGATAGCAAAAAGTTATTAACAACATTTTAAATTTATTTTAAATTGAAAAATTTGTTATAATTCATTAGCAATAATACGTATTAAGTGAAATGGAAGTATAAATGTTTATACATGATGAACAAAAATACACAAAATTGGTTGAAATGGGAAAAGGTTTAATATTAAATACGAAGATTCTTTCCTAAGTACAAATTTCTTAAATTTACATTATTTTATAAAACGAAATTTACTAACAAAAAGATGAAAAAATAGAAACGAATTATTTTGAAAATAAATAAATAAATGAATGTAACATTTAAAAAAAATTATTTACACAAAATATTCAATAACTGTATAAATTTCAAAATATATTTTTCTGTTTGGAATACATCAGAAACAATAGATATGCAAGCTTGGGTAGAATAATGATTAGGTATGTTACATAAAAGTGCATTTAATGTATCAGGAGTGTGTTTGAGTTATATGCTTGTTGGCATTGAATGCGTGTGTATGTTTGCATGTGAGGCGTGTATGAGTTTATGAATACAAAACATACATGCATTATATATATATATATATAATGTATATATATATAAATGTATGTATACATCATATATACACATCAATTAAAAAGAACATAAATTCTGGTTGTCAGGTAACAATGCTTTGTTTACATGTTTATGTCTATACGTAGTTTAAATGATTTAATCAGAATCGTCATTGTTTTCGTCATCGTCTTCTTGTTGGATTCTGTATGTTTTACAATATGTCAAACAAAATATCTATATATGCTTGTGTGTATGTGTTTGTTTGTGCTCGTGTGTGTGCGTGCGTGAGTTAGTGCTCCTATAAATAAGCCATGTTAACCGCCCTAACTAATTTCAAAGATAACCTGGCGCTAAAGTTATGTCCAAGCATAAGCTATCAAACAATTCCACAGCTTTCACTGTTCGGCGTGGGAGGAAGTTACGAGATGACGTCATAATGACGTAACGCTATCTTCAGATTTTGTTGCTATTATTATTTTTATTATTAATCAGTTAATCTTTTCAGTGAGTAATAGATTAAAATTTTGGGGAACGATTTTGAAAAAAATGAAATGACTGGGATATATATACATGTAAATAAATAAATATACCTAGTTATATATATATATATATATATATATATATATATATATATATATATAATATATATATATATATATATATATATATATATATATATATATATATATATATATATTGTACAAATAAATAACACGAACATTAAATTACATTGAATAATTGTTATTTATTAATAAAAAAATAATCAAACTTATCCTATATTTTTTTTATCAGGAATTCCAACTATAATTTAATTTTATAAACCGCAGAATATATTCAACAATATGTTGAGGTTTAGACCACATTCTTAATTAATATAATTGTCATTTTTGTTAGTACTAGCAACACCACTTTAATGATACAACAACAAAAAAATGTTACTTATAAGCTATCTTGCTATTAATACTATAACTAGAAACATTGATAAGAAATAGTTTTGCAAATTATAAATCTCAAATAAACTTTTTTTTAACCATTTTAAGTAGTTTAATTATGTATTACAATGATAATTAGCAGTGACCAAGTTGACGAAGTGTGTTGATTACTCTCATAAAATGCATTCTAGCCGGTAGTCGTTGCGTAGTTAGCATTTTAGAATTTATTTAATACGTCCGTTTAATTATGTGTGTGTATTTATGTGTGTGTGGGTGCGTGCGTGTGTTTATGTATTATATGTTTCAAATCAAGTATGTGTGTACCGCCGAAAAATAATGAAAAAAGACCATGACATGATAATTTTGTTTTGACGTGATTTCCCATCTATTTCAAATGCATAACGCTCACATTTTGAGAGGTACACATTATATATATGTACATGTGTGTGTGTGTGTGTGTGTGTGTGTGTGTGTGTGTGCGTGCGTGTGTGTGTATCACGGTGATAAAGAGATTAATTATTCATAACATTCGTATTCATAAATATTCATAATAAGTTAAACTTATTACGGATAACAAACAAGCAAAATAACATTAATGATAAAAAATTTATTTTTATCTTTCAAAAATTCAAATCATCATTTTTAATTAGCATTAGAACCGAGTCTTAATAAATTCCAATGAAGGAACTTGAGGACGCGAGGTGAACATCATGTTATCATAATGATAACGGAATTTGACCGTTGTAAACCTTTTCAAACTCATTACAAACAGTATTTAAATGTTTGCAATTCGTCTAATTATAATTACATCTACTATGATTTATATACAAAATATTAATATCACTATTTCCAGCTGTTAAAAAATTTGTTAGTTGAGGTCATTCAGACGCAAGTTGCTCGAATGCGATCGTCATTGTACTCGTTAAAAATGTTGTCTTCGTCGGCTGTCATTATGCCTCGATCGCAGCTTATGGATGATGTGTAGTTGAAATCTCCACTCGATGACTCCAGCACGCTCAGTTTCGCTATAGATGTCGCATCCTTCCTCTTCGGAGATCTATGCACAAAGGGAATTAATAATAGTAAAAATAGTATATGGACGTTTCAGCTGATATTCATCGCACAATCAGTAAATTACAACTTTGTTACTATTTGTCTGTTCATTAAATTATTTTATTGGTTCTATTTGAAAAATTTTTTCAACAAAATATGTTGCACCATCTTAGCAACCCTTAATATATTGGGCACTTTTATAATAATTTGACCTATGATGACCATGTTGTCAACATCAAAACACACTTAAAACGCATGAAAGTTTATTTTATGTTACTAATACACACTCTGACAAACGCAAGTGCTTAAAACACATTGTTATAATTTATATCAACATTAACCTCAATTGCGGTTCGATAGTCACTAAAACCGACTTTGCTTTAGTCGGATGATCCGCTTCGGTTTGTAAATCCTTCATTGCGGTACTATTCTCGTATATAGAATTAGGAGTAAGATCTACTAAGCCGCATGATGAGCATTGGTAGGTGTAATTCAAATCTAAACTAGGTTTCCACAGTCTGTGTTTGGAAATTTCTTTTGCTTTTTTCTCAACTTGGATAGCCTGGGCCAGGCATTCATTGCACCTTCGCTCATTTTTGATGTTTTGATGCTTGTTCGTAAGTTTGTCGAGCACTTCATTCTCGGTGCTGAGGTTGATGTTTCGTCTGCTGTTTGTGATGTCGTTTTTAATGACGACCTGACAATTTTTCGTTTTGTTATTGAATGAGGAAGAGGTCGATCTGCTGGATATGGTCTGGTTGTTCGCTCCAAAGTTGTTGAGAATTTTTGACTGTTGCCTGCGTTGTTGTCTGCGTCTTCTGCAGCAGCAAGCAATGACCAGCGTGGTCACGATGAGTATGAGCGAGACGATGGCTACCGATGAGATGACCAAGATGGACCTCAGCTCATCCGAGATTGGAGGTCTTGGTAGTTTGTTGTTTTCATCGTCTGTGGAGTTAACTGTTGTCGTTTGGTTGCGACTGACTGTTGTTGGAGATGTTGATGTGGCGTTGGATGGTGTGGTCGGATTGACGGCTGATATCGTGGCTGTTGTTTTTGTTGTTATGTTTGATAAACGATCTACCGTTAATGGTGTAACTACTTTAGTTGTATATTTACAAAATGTTACATTCAATGAACACAAACACTGAAAATCATCTGCACTGCACGGATTCGTTGGAATTTCCGTCTCGCAATGTCCACCTGTGTACCGCGCGGAACACGTGCAGGTGTATTTGGACGAGTTGGGCATTCTAACGCACGTACCGGAATGCAAGCAGGGTGACAATAAACAACTGTTGATGATTTTTAATTTTTCACAATGTTCGCCTTCATAGTTGGCGGGACACAAGCAGAAGATGTCTGGCATTGAGCTGACGCACGTACCACCATTCAAGCAGATGCCAGGGTTGTGAGTGCAGTATTCCATATCTAATGGTGGGCAACAGTTTCATTTCACGCGACATATTTAAAAATATTTTTATTCATTAAATAAATAAATAACCGAACAATAATATGGAAGCTTGCTCATACAACTAGATATTTTACGCAAATGAATTTAAAAAAAATTGACATTGTTGTCTTTTAACCGGAATTAAACATTATTTTTGATGGGATGGAAATTTCTTTTTGAAAAAAGTAATTAAGGAGTACTACAAACCAAGATCACATCCAATGATTCCGTTCCCCCACCCGGGCTTGCAGAGGCACTCGCCAGGGTGGGTGCAGTACCCATTCACTGGGTGGCAGGGCAGCGTCGGGACGCACGTTTCACACCTCTCACCCTTCCAGCCAGGTAAGCAGCTGTGGGTTTTAATTTTGAAAAAAACTTCAAATCACCAAGTTATTTTTACTTCTGTCTTTGTTCAGTCAATCTAATTAATTGAATGAGTTATTATTGTTTTTTGAAACTTAGTTGACTTGGGATTAAAGATTAATAGGGTGGAAGATTGTTAAACAATGCATCCAAACTGGAAGAACTATAGTTGAAAATTAGATGCCGCATCTGATGTCAATCAAATCACCTCTTGATATTTTTAGCCAGACCAACAAATCACTGTGCTCATCAATCATTCACTTCCAAACGCATTCTTCAACGAGCACGTAAATCCATCTTGCAAATTTTTAAGGAATTTTTCAAATTTTCAACTCATCAACCATTTATCAAAAGTCACTTCATTTTTTAATCAAAACATTCATAAATCAGGTTTTGTTTTGTCTCGTTTAAATAATGCATTCAAATATTTCAAAATTCCATCCATAAAACATTAGCCCATCATTAATCATACGTTCACTTATCCTTCCAATTAATCAAATTGAAATAAAAAGTCTAAAAGTCTTTACATCAATGAATCAATAGACAAATGTATCTATAGCTAATAAGTCTATTGATAATTCATGTATCTTATTAAAAGGAACATATATATAGTTAATGGAACAGATAGATAATATTGACTAAAAAGTTGACTTATAATATTTAAAAAATTTTTAATGTTAAACCGTGCAAGAATGCATACACTAAACAGATTGGAACCTTTGTAATGCATTTTATCAGTGCTCCGAGATATCAATTTAAAATTCCTACAGCACCTTATCAACATGTACATTGTTAGTTTACAGTTAAACAAGAGCTATTAGCGATAAACACACCCAGCAATTTTCAAAAAGAAAGAAAAAAGAATAAAACAAAGAGTTAAAGATAAAATTTTATAACAAAAATAAACAGAACAGTTTGAAACGGCATTTTTGTTTCAAAGTTATAAACGATTTTCTAAGTAACCGATTCGAAACGGATAGAGGCAATTGCCGACAATTACCGTAACTCGATCCGATATAAATGTCATCGCCATTAAAATCCTTATCGCCATTGGCGTCTTCATCATTATAGTAATCATTTTAAAAATAATCGTTGTCATTGTCATTAAAATCATCATCGTCATCATCTTTTTTAAAATCAACAACCATCATCTTCGAAGTCCTCATCATCATCGCCATCATCGTCACCATGGTCATCCTCATCAATCATCATCATCGCCATCATCGTCACCATGGTCATCCTCATCAATCATCATCATCGCCATCATCGTCACCATGGTCATCCTCATCAATCATCATCATCGCCATCATCGTCACCATGGTCATCCTCATCAATCATCATCATCGCCATCATCGTCACCATGGTCATCCTCATCAATCATCATCATCGCCATCATCGTCAATATCGTTTAATACAATCATTGTTATTCTTATTATCAAATTAGTTAATTATTCTCTTTTATTTTCATATTAGTTTCAGTCATCATCATCATCGTCGTCATCCTCTTCATCATTATTATCATCAACAACAACCTCATCATCATCATCGTCACCATTTTTACCAACAAACATACCCAACTTAGACTTCTCTCAACCGACCTGACCTATCCGACATAATATCACCACCACCATCGTCGTCGTCGTCGTTACTATCAGCCTCATCAACTTTTTAATCAATTTTACTATTTCGACATTGTGTTAACCCTTTTAAAATGATCTGTACAAAAAACATTAGCCATCGCAATTTTTTTTCTTCATAAACAACTATACATACGGAACGTTTGGAATGTTACGACACGTAAAATGTTATCATAGAAAGTCCCAGTTGGGTTCTGGTTTGTTCTGTCCTGAGACTGAGCTAACTTTAATTAACATAATGATTATTTGAATTTAAACTGAGCGACTGATTTATCGATCAATTGTTTGTTTGGGATTTAAGTTCATTCATAGTAAAAGGATCATTAAGATTGAAAGCGTCGTCATAGTCGTCTTTTGTCTGATCATTAACATTTTATTATTCTAACATTAAAATATTTATTCATCTAAGACTTATCATTTTCAAATTCGCCAAGCTTCAAATTTTAAATTTTTCAAAGAACTTCTATGATGGTTGTGACTATAAAATGGTGGTGATAAAAGTGATGACGATCGGTGTGTGATGTTAATGATCAAAAAAGTATCGTTATGATAAGCAACTCTGACAAAATCAGATCTATCTATACTCTTATTTACCAACAATACAAGTCTACTCTCGAGCAAAATCGTCTGCACATTTCCAGAGTTGACGTAAATAAATACGCATCTGCATGTATGCGTCAAAAAAGCTTCCTGATAATGCTTACCAGATGCATGGTGACTCATCCTCCTCATCATCACCATCATCATCATCATCATCACCACCACATACCTGCATTCATTCGGAGAGATGCATTCTCCACTGACACAAGCTGGATCGCAAATGGCTGTGATGGAAATATTAGTGATAATTATTAAAATATAATTAATAATAATAATAATAATAAATATCACATTAATTATTACTATTTTTGTTGTTGTTATTATTATTGCTATTTCAATTATAACCATTGAAAAAATTCAATTATCATCAACAAAACGAATGTTTATACAAATACATAAATTGATAATAATCTAAACATAAAATACACATAGACAAACAAATACACACACACACACACAAATACATACACCACACCCTCTTTGTATATAAACACTCACAGAAAAACACATTCATAAAAACAAATAATAGTGTATAGACGTATACAGAAACATAAAAACATGAACACACACTCACATGAAATTATTATCAGTCAGGCACACACACACACACACACACATTTAAACAAACATTCAGCTTTGCATTGCAAATAGCAGGTGGATTTTTAAACAGTAAACACTCCCAACTGATGTTTATTAATGATCGTTCGGTTGTTGTGGTTTTTGTTTGTTATATTCAATTTTGTAAAATTATTGTTTATTTATAGAAGCAGCATAATGCAGTTTATTGTTGATATATTATTTTAAAATATATTTATTTATTTTTTAATTTTTTTTATTTTCTATAAATGAATCTGATTTCAATCTATTTATTTTCCATATTATTAATATTAAAAATTGAGACAAATGTGTCAATTTAAACTTTTTACTTACGAGTAGTACATAGTTGAAATTTTAACATTATTAAAAAAACAAAAAAAAAACAAACAGTTTCCATCATTTCAGCCAAACAACATCCAAAGTACTCAAACATACGATTAACTACACAAATCCAGATAGAGATAAAATGATCATTAACTCTTCATTCGCTCTACAAGACAAAGCATGAAACATACACACAACTGAACCCATTTTTTAGCTTTTATTAGCTTTATATATTTTATTACTAATTTCAACGAAATTGTTTTTCTGGACTAGTAAAAAAAAATAACTCATAACCTCACGACAATTAAAAATTTGAAAAAAAATGTAAACCACCATTAACCTTAACAAAATTCAAAATTATAAATTTAAAATAATAAGAATAATAAAAAATAATTGTTCATCACCACAAAAATAACCACACACACAAACAGACAAAACCGAACAACCTTAACCACCAACCGACCGACCAGACAACCGACTCAAGCCTCACTAACGTGTCCTGCATAGGTTATCGGGATCGGACCAGCCGGGCAGGCACTCCATGTCCTCCGTAACTTCCTGGCATCTATAGTGACCGGATTCACTATTATCTGTGGGCTGACATTCGCTACAAATTGGCCCTTTCAATTTCGCACTGCAGATAGCACGCACGTGGAAAGTGATGTCATCGTCTGCGTATGTCATCCACATTAGCGAGGCGTTCAAGTCGGTTCTCACCGTTCGGTGCGCGTAGAGGAGCTGGTCGGTGGATGGCGGTGTAGATGTTGATGCAGTTGAGGAGGGAGAGGAAGAAGATGATGATGAGGAGAGAGATGCTGATGATGAGGAGGGAGATGTTGATGAGGAGGAGGGAGATGTTGATGGAGGTGACAGTTGAGGTAAGAACGATATTGTTGACGATCGTTCAGCTGTTGTGGGTTGAATAAATTATTTCGAAATTATAAATACAATATTTCATTGGGAGAAAATTAATAATCCTTCACATATTTTCAGATTCATAATTGATTTTTATTCTATTTTTTCGATAAAAACCCAAATATTTCTGCAAATGATTTCCATGCGCGCGCACACACACACACACACAGAAACAAACACACATACAGATAATGTTTTTTTAGTTGCTATTAATAACGGGATACATTAAATTGTATGGATGTATTGTATATGACGTTAAAAGTTGCCTGGCATATTTCCACAAAATACTTCAAACAAACACTGTATGTAAGTACATTTTGATCTGTTTTGCATCATTTTAAAGTTATAAAGTTGGTCTGCATATGAATATTTGCAACTTGCAACAATTATATAACATTTAATAATAGTGTGTTGTGTTCAATTTAACCATTCAATTATTTGATATGCACATTAACACACGTGCACACGAGATTGCATTGTAACCGAACGCAAAGTATAATTACATATCCAATCTTGCGTGAATAACAAACGCTTAAGTAGCTATTATTACTTAAATTGCTGTGGGAAAGATTGACTCTGACAACAATAACGTTCAACTAACAAGGTGATTTGTTTGATGTATTATACGCACATACAAATACACGTACGCACAAACACACACGCTCTTACAAAAACAGATTGTAGTGCAGATAAGAGATGATGATTGAGATATACGTGAAGTTAAATAGATAGATAGATACCTTTACATTTGCCACCCAGTATGACCACACACGCACACATACCTTAATTATTTGTCACCATTCACATACATTCAATAAAATAAATCATACAAACACACACCAATTAATGCAACCGCATAACTATCTAAATTACAATTGGATTAAGCAAAAAATGCAACTAAGTGCTGCATAACTAACTATATATACAGCTGAATGTACAATTATACGCATTAAGTCTACATCACAAGCGTACACAAAAGCAATAAATACAAATTTGTACACAACATTTTAGAAGCGTACAATCAACTTCAGACATACATAGGTACAAAACATTACACAGAGATCTATTTTTGATCCCGGTTTATAAACAACCACGTGGTTAATTTAATTCGACATCATCGCTCTTGTCATCTCCATTGCTATTTTCATCCTCCTCATCACATGTCTCCATCACTCATTCACTACTCATTCACTCACTCATTAACATCATTTTCATTTTCATCATCATCTTACTAGAATCGTCATCATCATTAACGTGATTAACTTATTTTATCATCATCACCAGCAGCAAGGATTAAGTTGATAATAAATGTGATGATCGTATTTAATAGCGATCAACATAGCACATCATACGAAACACATTACGTTTTAAACTCGTCCAGAAAGTCCGTGCTGATGAATGGTTTGTTGGCAAAGGGCAGCATATCAATTTGAAATAAATTTTTGTGATAAATTGGGAAAAATCACATTTATTATCATCTTAATTTGGTAAATTTTTATATTAAAAAAATTTAATAACTAAGCATTTATTTAAAAATAAACAAATTCAATAAGAAACCTCGAAAATAAAATTTCAGTTTAAATATTTTTTTTTCACAAATAATCATCAAATCACGTAATAAAACTGAGAGTATTATTTCAAGCTCTTGTCTGAGAACACGTAACCAAGTACCTAATTAATCCGTTAACAATAATAATTATAGGGTAGCATGCGAACGTTCTAATTGCAGCATAGATAGATAGATAAATAAATAGATAAATAAATAAATAGATACATAAATAGATAGATAGGTAGATGGTTAGATGGATAGAAAGATAGATTGACTGATTGATATAGAGATAGGTGAATAAATGGATGGTTGATTGGATGCAATGATTGATTGATGTATAGATACATAGATGGATGGATAAATTTGTACGGATACGTAGATTTGTAAAAAAAAATACATAAATTTATGATATGATAAGTAGGTAGATAATGAGATGAATCAATGATTTATATGCAGATGCACTAATGTCTAAGTTATGAACCGCTCATGTTTTGTTTACAAGGTTTTTATTGTATTATTTTATCTTAATGACTTATTGGGTTGTGTAGAAAACCTCCTTGATTATAAATTTTAAATCGAACTAGAAATCGTTATTGAAAAAATTTTTTCATAGCTCCACACTCGATAAAGAACCATGACGTAGGCAGCGCTGCATTGACCAGATTCGATTGCACGGGATCCTCACCCATCACATGCAATCTGTGTGTGGTGTGTTGTTTCGCGTGTGTTTACATGCACTTCTAGAAATAATAAATAAACATAATAAATAAACAAAGGAAGGATGTTATATGTAATATACACACACACACCACGCACACACACACGCACGCACACTCACACACACACACAAATACGCGCCTACATGATTATCACAAATACACTAATACTTATATATTTAACTGTTTAATACGTTGATTTATTTATCCATTCGTTCAGTTATATTTCAGGTGTTTGTTTATTAACCAGGCCGGATCAATTATCAGGAAATTTCCACTTTCCCTTCATCCATATCTCTCCCTTTTTTGGTGTTTTCTGGTTCATTTTTATAATTTTGTTCTCCTCTTATTTCTTTTGTTTTTTTTTGTTCTTTTCCTTTTCTATTTTTTATCTTTTTCTCTCTTTTTTTCTTTCTTTCTCTATCTCTTTCTCTTTCTGTTTTACTCCTCATATTTTCTTGTCTCTCACTTTCTCTCTCCCTCTCTCTCTCTCTCTCCTCTCTCTTCTTTCTCTCCATCTCTCTCTTCCCAAATTTATTTTCACATTCAAATAAGCTTCAGCATTAATTTTTATGAAAACGAAATTATGTATTTAATAAGTTTCATAAATTTTTTAAAAATTATCATGAATAATAAACCTGTTAAAATATGTGTGATCGAATGATTGAAGGGTGAAAAATGATCTGCCGATGAGCAAAATGATTTCGACAATTAACTAACTAAGCAATAAACTAATTAACTAACTAACTAGGCAATTAACTAATTAACTAACTAAGCAACTAACCTTTGTTGTAGACTTCAACTAGCAAGGAGAAATTTCTCTGTGGGTTCAAATATTTTTCAAATCAGCAATGATTTTTTATTTGAGTTAATTGCATTTAATTAAATATAATTAACAACTAATATGAAGTGTTTAATACTTCAATAAGTAAACCAAAATATTTCGAAACACAATTCTAACAATAAATAAAAATGAATATAAAAGATACATTGAAATATACAACAACAACAGCAGCAGCAGCAACAGCAGCAGCAACAACAACAAAATGTATACGTTGAAAATTTAATTAAAAGAAAAAGAATTGACGTGATTTGTTATGATTATAGAAACTAATCAATGGTACCTACCCTGCTACTGAATGACTGTATTAGAAAATCCAAAAGTGTATGTGTATGGTAAGTGCTAAATTTGAAAATTTATCTAGCCGTTGCTTATCATGGCTTTGATTAAATTGAATGACAAGATTTGCGATAACTTGAGTAGCAGGCTGGTGTAATGGTTACGACGTCAGGTTCTGCTGTTGCAGTGACTGGATTCGAATACAAAAAGCTCCCCGTTTATCACATGCAATATGTGTGTATGTGTGTCTATTTGCATGTGTGTGTCTGTGTGCGCGCGGGTGTGTGTGTGTGTTTAATAATATACCTCCGATTAGTATTTACTTTTATTAATATCTATGAGTAAAAAATAATATTACTATAATGAAGCTTAAACTAAAAGGAATTAATTGCTATTAATACTAAGTGACAAAAATTATAGTTATTATATAACAATAATTATTATAATTGTTATAACAATAATTATTACAGATATAATTTTTATAATTGTTATTGTTATTAATATCTTGAAACACAAAATTAGAAGAATGGATGCATGATAAGACTAAAATGGCGATATAACCTTTAAAAACAGCTATGACGTATAAAACAACAAAAATAATAACAACAAAATTGCTGCTGCTGATAAATAATAATAACAATAACAACAACAACAACAATAATAATAATGATATTAATAATAATAAATCACAGCAACTGGTATCACCCAGCACGGAGTTACCTAAGTAACATATTGTTTTTTGACGGTTTCAAATTACATGCCATCAGCGGGAGAGAGAGAGAAAGAAAGAAAGAGAGAGAAAGAGAGGAGGTGAGAAAGAAGGGGTAGAAGAAAAAGAAAGTGAAAGAGAGCATGAGAAAAAGACAGAAAAAGATCGAAGAATGTAAGGAAGAAAAAGACCAGAGATAAAAAGAGAAAGAGACAGATGAAAATAAGAATGAAAGAGATGAGATGGAGGAAGAAAGAAAGAAAGAAAGATGGCGAGAGGAAATTTGAATAAACAGAAACATTTTGGAAAAATATATTATTCAAAAGTGAGAAACTAACAGTAAAAAAAAAAGAGAATAAAAAAGACGGAGTGAGCCAAAATTAGTAAAATGAAAAACAGTCTTCAGATAACATTGATGGGTTAAACTTGATTCACATAAAACAGTTTAAAACACTCGCGTTTATATTAACTAAGTGCTTTATAATACATCAAAATAAAAATAATAAAGTATACTGAACTCTCTAACTGCAGTCCCACAATTAGAGCACCGTTAACGTAAGCGACACATGGGGCTCGAATTTGACCTAGCTAAATACTTTTATTTAAGAATAAATATAAATTTTCAAACACACACGCACACGCACATACACATCTACAGGTACACACACGCACGCACACACACACACACACACACACACATACATACACACATCCACACACTCATGAACGCAAGCACTAACACACATATGCAAACACACAAACGCAGACGCACAAACACAGCACACACGCGCACACACAGGCACAAGCATATATGTAGATGGGCAAAATTTTGCTGTCCATATTATAAGGTGGTAAATTAAATTTTTTAAAGAAATAATAATTATAATAATAAATAAATCAAAACAAAAGAACAGAAATAATATTAATAATAATGGGAAATGATGAATATCTTGATATAAAAAAATAAAATTAATATGACGCTCACAACACCATGTAGGTATATTTATCAATCCGTACATGTATCTAATACATGTATTTATACCTCGATACAGGTATCTATGCATGTATCTATTTATACATCCATATATCTTCTTTTCTCTTCGTCTATCTATTCAGTAACATAGAGGTGAACTGAAGAAACCCGATATCTCTATTAATCCTTGAAACGCTCGATACATTTCAACAATATCACTAAATTATTCTCTATTTTTTTCATTTAAATTGAGTGATTACCTAAAATGGAGAGAAGTTATAGGATTACACCTGCCGTAATTAGAACGTGTTGAATAGGTTGGCTTTGTATGCTTCATAGTTTCATACATTTACAGGCATTTCAAATTGCTGTCTGTGTTAATTTATTTTGACAACTCCTTTTGCTACTACTACTACTACTACTTCTACTACTACTACTACTATTACTACTACTACTACTACTACTACTACTATTACTACTACTACAACAATTACTGCTGCTACTACTACTACTACTACTACTACCACTACTACTACTACTACTACTACTACCACTACTACTACTACTGCTGCAATTGCTACTACTACTAATAATAATACTACTACTACAACAACAATAACAACTACTACTACTGCTCTGCTGCTGCTGCAATTGCTACTTCTACTACAACTACTACTACTACTACTACTTAGGAAAATGATATCCATCTTGCAAAAAATAATGATCTCAAAGTTAACGTGTGGAAAGTTTTAAACGTTCTATAAGCCGGTATCAATTATATCAGGGGTAAAAAATGACATCACTGCTTTCGATGATACTACTGGTTTTAATGATAGCGGCTATGATACCCGCTGTGACTCGTATCAATGATACTAGCATTAATGAATGATACTACGACGAGACGATAGTTATTGAAATTTTGAATCAGATGAAATTACGAACAATAAGAAAAAACTAACGTGACAACATTTAATAAGTACTACACGAGGAATATGTTTATCATATAACTGCAATATAATTAATTAATTAAATACTTAATTTATTAATTAATAGGATTTAATCTTTAATTTTTATTCACTAAAAGTTACATGAAACATTAGCAACAAAAAAAAGTTGCAACAAAAAAAAAACACAAAAAAAGCAACAAAGTCATCAACAAAACTAGAAAAGACAACACAAGCGGCTAAAACAACTGCAATAAATAATACCAAATCAACATCAATATTATATATCAACAAAAAACATCACAACAGCCCACCTGCCAAGGTTTATCAAAATAAAATTCAAAGAAAAGCGAGTTGTTTAAGGAGGTTAGGAAGACCACTTTCCCTCGCTCCCACTCGCCATTTTGCGATTCGAATATCGGTTTATTGGGTACGGTATTTAAGTCGATCTGATTGTCTACCGATCGAGTATCGAAGAATACTTTTGAATATCCGACAGCGAGATTGCAGTTTGTTGAGTCGTGCGTTTGCAGGTAGTATGAGAGGCAGAAACGGAAGTAGAGAGAACAGTTACCTGTCTTCGTGTTTATTCGGTTGTTGTTGTTATTGTTGTTTGTTGCATCAAAAGTGTTGTTGTTGTTGCAGACGTTGCGTGGCATTTTGAAGTTTGTTACTAGAATTTGGAGGGATCCTCTTAGCCTGTTTGGCTTCGATACGCTCGGTGTTGGTTGACTAGTTAAATTTCTCTTCTGGTCTGACTGATTGGTGATTGAGATGTGAAAGTTATTTGAATGAATGAAAATTTCATGGATTAGTTTATAGATTAAAAAGATTATACAGTTTTTAAACTATACAGTTTTGTGTTTAAAAATATTAACATAAAAGTTTCAGAAATATTGCCAAATATTTCAGAAACTCATGCCAAACAAACTATTATAAACTTTAACTCGTGACACAAATTTTAACCGGTTAATTTTCCATTTACACTGTACTTATCAATGATAAAAAGTATTTTACATCTGGTTAATGTTAAGTAAAATTTGAGTAAAATTTACTCTTGTACTGTAGTATCTGTAACGAGTTAATCGTTTGCTTTATTGTCTCCAGCTGTTCATGTTGTATAGTATTTTTTCGTTGATTTATACAAAAAAAAATCATATCCTAAAACGCTTAAATGCAATAAAATCAAATTGAGTTTTTAGTTCAGAATGAAAAGAAAATGTGATAATTTTTGCTTTAGAAATAAAATTAATTGCTTAACACAAGGTGGCTGACTTTAAAATCAGATGTATTTTAATTGTGGATTTGATAAAATAATTTTACGATAATAATAATAATAAAGATAATAATAATAATGCGTTATTTGGTAAATGAAAAAATATTTAAACCATTAAAAAAGTAACGCTTTTAATGGAAGAAACACAAACAAAAATAAAAATTGACAGTCAGTTTCAGTGAGATGGGCGTCTTGAAATGAGTTCTTCATACGTCAAATTCTCTCAAAGAGGTGATTGAAGTTGGCGAGAATATTATTTCTTTGTTATCTTACGTCTTTGTAGTAGTTGTTGTTGTTATTATTATAATTATTTTCGTTTTAAAATTTATTATTATTATTACTATAACTTTTGTTTTTGTGATTATTATCACTTAGTTATTTTATTATTATCATTATTGGTTTGTGAGAACTAGCATGGATTTTTTTCCTGTTTAAACGTTTCATCAAATCATTATTGTCATTAGATCATTTTTATAGATACCACCAAAACAAAAGGTTTCTGTTTTGTTCATCATCAATGTCAATATAAATCTGGCCGGCGAGGTGGTGTAATGGTTAAAGCGTCTGCTATCGCAGTTACCGGGCTCGATTTCAAAGAGATCCCGCCTATCAAATGCGTGCATGTGATGCGTTATTTCATGCAGACACTGTGTGTTTTTTGCTAATGCCTCTAGGAAATTTGTCAAGAGAATCGTAATAATAATAATAATAATAAATATAATTATAATAAAATAAATAATAATAAGATTGCTGATAATTATGTTAGGTTTAATTGCTAGAGAGATTTCAGTATATCACATGCGATGGACGGCGATGAGTTGATTTACGTTTATTCACTTCACGTTACGTCGTCTTTCGTAGCACTTCGAAATAATTGCAAACAATTGCCAATGTTATAAGCGTCATTTCGTCAATAATATTGTGATCATCATCTTCGTCGTTATCATTTTTATCATAGTAACTATCAATTTGAAGATATTTTCAACATCTTCGTCATCATCAGCGTTGTCAGTATTTTTATCAAAAAGGTCATCGCCGAAAACGTCATCATAATTGTAACCATCATCTTCGGCATCGTCCTCATCGTCATCCTCATCATCTTTTTTCATCATCGTTGTCGTCATCATCGTCATCATCATTGTTGTCGTCATCATCGTCATCACCATGTCTTTCCTATACGTGCAAGGTAGTTGTTTGTTTTTTTGTTGCCAGCGATGGTGTCATTGATTTTCTATAGACTGTCGTATCATTAAGGTGATGAGGAGGAGGAGGAAGAAGAAGAAGATGACGAAGATGATTTCGATGATGATGGCGTGATGACGACGACGACGAAGATGATGATCATATTCATTACGTGAATGATGATGATAATGATAATAATGATGATGAAGATGATGATAATGATAATGAAAATAATGCTGATGCTGATGATGGTGATAATGGTTACAATCATATGCCTAAAGATGGCGATGATAAAAATTTTATGCACTATGATCAAAAAATAGTTGAAATAATAAAATTAATATAACCATGAAAATTATGAATATTAAAATAAATATAGATAAGAATAAAATAATAAAATAATTAACGAAGTTACAAAATTTGATGAGAAAACTGAGCTCAAATCTATTGTCTGTCTGTCTGGTGAATGGATGTTGTTATTTTCACATATCTATAAATAGAGAATTTGTTATTGTTAACATTATTGCTACTATTGTTATTATTGTTATTGCTGTTGTTGTTATTTTTTTTGTTGTTGTTGATGATGATGATGTTGTTGTTGTTGATGATGTTGTTGATGTTTGTTGTTGTTGTTGTTATTAATGTTGTTGTTGTTATTATTGTCGTTGATATTCTGTCAGATATCATTATTATCTGTTTTATTACGGCAATAAACTAAAGTAAATTCTTATAAATCAATATTATATCTCAAGCTCACCCATCTATTTTGATATATATCTCTGATATATATCTAATCGAGTATCTATTACACGCGTTTGATATTAAAATGATGTACCCATATACACAAACACATTCACACACACATATACACGCATATACATACATCATACACGCATATACATTCATCACACACGCATATACATACACCGTACATGCATATACATACACTCATATATACACACCTATATACGCACATACACATATAAAAACACACGCACATACACAAACACACACACACAGTCACACACAAACACACACACATTTACAAGCCAAAGTTTCTTCATCATCCAAACATCACCAATGCTATTACTAGTTTGTTAATTACTAACTTACTACTACTACCAGAGTAGTAGTACTGAGTACTGAGTAATTTTTTAGCGTGAGAATGTATTGTTTTGTTTATTTGACGCTAATATTTACCCATCGCTAGTTTTCTTCTGCTTGTATGAAAAATGAATGGATACACACAACACATACAAACGAAGGATTACATTGATTAATGCAAAGAAGATTAACACACACACACACACACACACAAACACACACGCAATGTGTATGTTTATACGTAATACACATGTATAGTTATGTATCTTTTTTTACACGTGAATAATCAATAGCAAAGATTATTATTATTACGCAATGATTTAGAACAATTAATCGTTGCAACCATTTTACAATATGAGAGGTGATAAATCCTCTATATGATTCTACGTATGATTGACTAAACTGCAATATGGAAGAATAAAAATATAAGACTTATTTTTTGTTTTAATAATAATAATGTCTGCTCGTGCTTGCTTACAAGTCTGAAAATACCTGGTTTTGTGCGTGTGTGTACGTGTCTGTCTGTACGTGTGTGCGTGATTTTGTGTGCTTGCAGCACGGACATCTATTTAGTAAATTATCTAGATATCTATATTTTGTAAGTGTATAAATGCTGTATAAAGTATATATGCTGACACCCATCAAAGTTTACATCTATTTAAACGTTAGAAATTAATTGTGTATGATTGTCTATGTTGGTGTGTGTATGTGTGTGTGTTTGTGTGTGTTTTTGTATGTATGTATGCGTTTGTATTATATGTTTATATCTATTAAACGTGTATAAGCCAGTGCGTGTATTGTATATTTTTTTTTATAATATGTGCGTGTGTGTGCGTGCGTTCTAGGGCTGTCGTGAGTTTTAATGTGTGCGTGCGTGCACATACACAGAGTAACAACTCAGACATTTAATTACTGCTGATGTTTCTGTTAATATTGCCATTGTGTTTTAGTTGCTTTGCAGTCTTTCAAACATCTTAATGCTAAATAATTAACGGTTTTTGTATTGAATAGTTTTAACAAGGCGTGTTTGTCTGCTTGTCTGTTTGTTTATGGTTCTTAAATTGTATTCGTTTGTCTTTATGTATGTTTGTTATTTGGTTTATGTATGTGTGTGTGCTCTTTTATGTATGTGTAGAAGTATGTGTTAATTAAGATCATGATGATTACTTTCTGAAACAAATTTTACAAAATTAATTTCTTCTTAATAATCATTTGCTATATTTAATTAGTTGAATGAAGAATTTGTTTTTAACGCCATTGTCACCATCACCACCACCATCATCATCATCATCATCATCATTATCATCATCATCATCATTATCATCATCATCATCATTATCATCATCATCATCATAACGTCATCACCATCTTCGTCATCATCATCACCAGCACATCATCGTCATAACCGTCATCAACTTCGTCATCTTTAACACCATCATCACCTCACCACCAAACGATATTTTTGTTGTCACTTCTGTCATCATCGGCTCTTTATACTGACAATCTGACAAGCATATAATCAGACTGGCATACAAAACTGCGCACCCCCCTCCACACACACACACAAACACACACACACATGTAACATACAATAAGCTTTCTACTTTTCAATCAAACTATCAATGAATGAATTTATTAATAAGACAATAGAAGTTAAGGGTACGTGAGAGACACAAGCACCTCACCTACAAATACAACCAAAAAACATTAAAGAACTGAAAACAATAACTCACGAAAATTGTGAATTCATACACAGACACGCACACGCGCATGACAATTAACACACGCAAACACAAATACATACACTCAGATATATCCCACAAACACACCGCACATCCATATAAGCGTACACACCCACAAACACACATACACACGCACACAAACGTACACACACACGCACAAACACTCGCACATACGGACACAAACGCAAGGGGAGACAGCACATCAGAGGAGTTCATAAACAAGACCTAGTTTGTCCCGTTTGAAAGATTTTTGAAAGTTTAAATCGTCAGACGACATGCGGATTGAAACGGATCAGATCTCGCACGCCATTCATCATCCCTCCACAAGCTGTCAGCTCCTCAATTTTAAAAGCTC